ACATTCATATTTTTTATCCCCGCTCATATTTTAAACGTAAACAGCAATTTGAAACATCTTGCAAAGATGTGACTCAAGCTTCTCTTTACCGACCACCAGAGTCCCAGACTTAGGTTGTTCGAATAGACATCGGGCAAACTGGAACGGGTCCCTAAAGAATTTCTTTCGCTTCCTTTTGGTTCGTTTTTTGTTGTTGTTGTTACAGAAACGCTCAGCGCGACAGAGGGCCCTGTGTCTGGCTCTCAGGTGCAACCAGACCTCGTGCCGTCCCTCTCATTCGCTGCCCGTAGCGGCATTGAACCGTTTTCTGAGTGCATTTTTGTCTGCCCTGCACTTCAGAATGTCCCTCTGCCTCCTGCTTTTATTTTGCTTGACGCCCGGCTGCGTCTTCTCCACTGTCCCGAACTCGCGGGAACAGTGCTCGTATATTATATTACCAAACCGTGTAAGCTTATCACCTAGCGACTTTTTCTTTAAATCATGATTTAATTTATAACTCAGTGTACCCTCCAGCTTGCACCACGACACCTTGTCGCTCGCATGTAGAAACCTGATCTTCGAACGCACTTTTTCCAGGAATCATCAAAGTGCGTCTCCATAATCGACGTCATGGTGAGTGGGGTATACTCAGCCTGTCGTTCCCTAACGACTCAGTAACTACCACGGGAGTAGTAGTTATGCGACGACGTTTACCGCGTGTCGCACCTTCGCATTTCATCATTCTGGCATGAGTTCTCAGATTGTAATCTAGATTGTATTTCTTCGCTCTGCATGTTGGAGCAGTAAACTGACATCATCGTCATCAGGTGCCTTACCGACTGACGTGTGCGATCATGCCTCTCCACATTCTGCGATCTCCTGCAGCATGTATCAGTTCATGTGCTGACACACCTCCATGCCATGCAACAAGACTGTCAAGAATATTCTCTCATTGTCTTAAGACTGTCAAGAATCTTCTCTCGTTGTCTTCCTCTATCCCTCCTTTCACAGATCTTTCCAGTGGTCACATGTTCCATTTTCCATCTTCTTATAACATGGCCGAAAAATTATGACTGTCTCCTTCTGATGTCTGTGATAAGGTGTCTTTAGGCTCCAGCCTCTCTCAAAACCTCTTAGTTGCTCTTTTTGGCTGTCCAAGGTATTTTAAGCATTCTTCTGTAAAACCACATCTCTGAGGCCTCAAGAAATTGTTTAGCCTGCCTACCTATTGTCCAAGTCTCACAGCCATATGTTAAAACTGGATGTGTGTAGCAAGCAAGAATTCTTTTTCTAACCCTCAATGACAAAGATATATTCTTCATTTTATAAAATGCAGTTTTTATCTGTCCTATTCTGTTTCTTATCTCAGTTATGCATTTTCCATCTGATGTTATCTATGTGCCCAGATACTTAAATTTCTGTACTTGTCCCAAAATAACACTATTGACTTTTTCTTTTTTCATTTAGGAAAAATTTCAGACCAGAGCATGTTGTCAGGCCAGGAAAGAAAGACAATACAAAACAAAATTGCCATATATCATTCGTTTTGTTTGATTATTGAAGGTAAATTTCAAGGTAAAGAATAGACCTGAGAACTCTGTGACAACAAATAAAATTGACTGAAAGAGGACAAGGGGAAAGCATAGAGGTAAATACCTTGATGGTTTGGTCACATACATGGAGTGTGACAAGAGTTCCACCTGATCCGTGATTCTGCTGATCATATGGGATAGCAAATGATGATTGTTTATCCTTTTCAATGTGGCGATGATACTTACAGGAAAGGGGTGTGCTAGGAAATTTTTGTCACTGAAAATGTGGGGTGGGGGAACATTGTCTTAAACAAAGAACACACTGTTTCATGTTAAGGTTGAACAGCTGAAAAGGACTTTAGTTCACATTTTTCTTTTATTTCCACATGCATCATCAGACTGTGAAAGAAAAGCTGTAATTACAGCATTCGCTTACATTATTGTGACAGCCATTTATTACATTAGAGTAACCTCACAGTAATGGCCAATCCTTGAAATCCATAGGATAACCCTCATGTAGGAGACAGATTACAACAAATACTCGATATGTAATAGAATGAGTAATTTTTATTCATCTTCTATATGAAGTTAGTTGTCACGGTTCAAGAAATGAGTACAATGTATTCAATGGTTGTCTATCTATATGTAACAACATCCTGTTTTAGTTCTATGATATTTTCATGTGTTTTTTTTTTCCAGTTATATATATACATAGGAAATGTTGCTACTGGAACAAGTAAACAAAGGTAGTACACAATGTGCATTTGATTATATTTTGAACAACAACAACAACAAATCATAATATCGTAAGACAGGACACAAATGAACACCTCAGTGAACAAAGATTACTAAAGTGCAAGTTTCTCCGACCGTGGACATGTAAATATACATGATGGCAGAAATTAAAGTTAAACAGGAATTACTAAACATATTTTCAACATGGGAACAGTATTAGTATCTGGGAAGATAAATAACATATTAAAAATAAGAACTGTAAAACTGTGCACATAAACTCTCCTACATGTTTTGAAAATCTAGAAAATCAAAGAGGAATTAGAAGATCAAATGTGGTCATGGAAATATTCTTTTTCTCTACCTCCAGTTATCTTATGGGTGTTGGATGGAAGATGTAAGGATCTTCTGTGTGCTCTTTCTAAGGTGTTACATTAGTTGGTCATCATTTCTTTAAGGTTGTTGTTAATGTCATCACTGTATCTGTTGCATGTTTTTTTTCTTTGTCTTTATTCATTTCTTATTAGACCTTCCACAAATGTATCCTTTGCATTAAAAGTGGTCGCAGTCCTTGCTTTGCTTTTTTCACATTGTATCATCATCATCATCAGGTGCCTTGCCGACTGGCGTGGGCGATAATGCCTCTCCATAATCTGCGATCTCATGCAGCATGTATCAGTTCGTGTGCCGACACACCTCCATGCCATGCAACAAGACCGTCAAGCATTTTCTCTCGCTGTCTTCCTCTATCCCTCCTTAAAACAGATCTTTCCAGTGGTAACAACATCACATTGTATAGACATTAAATTACACAAGAATAGATAATATTTCCTGACAACAAAACCCAATCAAATACATAAGTTTTGATTGAAGAGGTGACATGAAATTAGTTATGTTGAAATAAATAAAAAGTAGATAAGTGAAATATGTTTGCTATACCAGAAGCCTTAAAACATTTATAAAAACCATACTGGAGAGATGGCAAAAATGAGCAATACAAGCAGGAAGGTAACATCAAGAGAAAAAAGGAGTATTCTGGAGATCCATTGCAGCCAATTGTCATTGTTAATGACATGTAACTGAATTACATTTAAGGAGAATTAACCGTCATCACATAGCAGGTCCTTAACAGATCATCCATTTAATTATGGCCAAGAAGGCTAACCTGGGCAACAAATGCCTGCTGAAGTCAGATGTGTCATCTGAAAGATGCAAATATAGCAGCCATGTTGCAAACAAGACAACAGATTTACGTGTCTGGATGAATGCAGAAGAAAAAGAAAAAGACAAAGGCTTTTATTATGGTATGTTAGAAAGTCAAGAAATGCCTTTCAACTGTCCCACCTCATGACCTTTCAAACCCAGAGTACCTTTAATATTCTGTGTCCATCATCATGTTGGTTACAATAAATCACTATCGCAAGCCACTGAATTAAATACTGGGGTACCTCAAGGCTCAATTCTCGGTCCTCTGTTATTCAATATCTACATAAATGACCTTCCTTTATGTCTGTCGTCGTCCTGCGATTTATATATTATTCGCAGACGACTGTACCATCTATGCAAATGCTCAAACATGTAATTTACTAGAGTCCTCATTACAACAAGAATTAAATAATGTAGTCCAATGGAGCAGTGCAAACCGTATGCAAATAAACATTAATAAAACCAAATCTATGCTAATAACGACCAGGCAAAAACTATACAGTTTAAATTCTCAGAGAACGCTTCAACTCTACATTGGGGGCATTCAAGTAGAAAATGTAACTGAGCACAAGACACTGGGGTTGGTAATTGATGCAAATCTAACATTCAACTCACATGTACAAGCACTTGTGAAGCAAACAGCTAAAAAGGTTTACCAGCTTGCAAAAATTAAAAACTTTCTTGATGAACACACAAGAAAGATATTCTATATTTCCCACATCCAGACACATGTAGACTATTGCTCTACAATATGGGATGGCTGTTCCAGCTCTGTTATCAAGCGACTCACATCACTGCAAAAGCGCGCCATTCACTTAATTAGCAACACTGAGCTCCGAAACATATAAAGGTCTTAGACTACTACCGCTTCGTGAACGTCTACTTTTCAATAAGGCAAAATATACTTAAAAATATTATCTCAAAAGGCTCCATGTTACTTATGGCCGTTGTTCAAATATAATTAACGGCATAGTAAGCGTCTAAACATATTACACATCCCTAAACCTAGGATAGACCTTTATAAAACAAGTCTGTCATATTCCGCAGCTCAATTGTGGAACTATCTACCACAGCAAATCAAAAGTACCACTAGTCCATATACATACAATCGAAAACTGTTCAAATATTATCTGAGCACCGATTATATGCCCCCATAGAAGATAAAACATATGTGAAAAATAGCGCTCATTTTCCTTAGATTTGTTACAACTAATACGTTTTACTGTAGTTAGAAATCTGCACATTCCAGTGCTTGTATTGATTATTTTGATGCTATTGCTAACTTTTAATATTACTTGATGTGTGAATGAAATGATGTAAAAATGGAGGGAGACCTCGAAGGGCAGAATGTTAGACAGGCCTGCGTGCCCAATTCTTAACCCTTTAAAAATAAAGTTTGTTCGTTCGTTCGTTCGTTCCTGGAATTACAGACTTCAATATTGTTTTCTCAACACCATTAAGGCATTTAATATTAAAAACTATTAATACAAATAGATATTTAATGACTGTTAATATGTTTTAAAAAAACACAAATATATACAGCAATTAAAGCTATGAGAGTGAGCTGAAAAGTTCTATCCGCTCCTGGTACAATTTGTAATATTCATTGGCTAGAAAGAAAAATGGAGTGTCCACGTTGCGCATCTCTTTCTGAAATATTCAATATAAAAGTGTCTTAGTAAAGCATTAAACAACTCACATGCAGGTAATATTTCAGTAAGAAGTTACCAAATACAGCATAAGCAATGAATAGAAAGTTCAATGAAGGGAAAGGAAAAGAAGTGTCAAAATAACCAAATATTCCAGCAAGTCTGTATCAGTGGACAATACAGACCAATTTACACTGAATAGGAAATAGAGGAAAACTGAGACAGGAAAAGCTATCGTGAAATAAAACATGCAAGACAAAGTGAGAAGAGTAGAGGCTCTCATTATGTCTTATCATGAATTATGACCACCAAAGCTCATTAGTACGACAAATGACTGTTTTGTTGTTCATTTATCACAAGTGACGAGGACCACTCTTTATTTAATTTATTATGAAACTATAGTTGAGTTCTGTGAGTCTGGAGGCAACTTATAAGCCTAACACAGGACCAGAAGGACCTAGGACAATGAGGTTAGGAAACAGTGCCTGCAGATAAAGGACCTGTCGTATGGGTTTTTCTAGCTTGCCTGCCTGTCTGCACTGCTCAGCTGCCCTTTTTCTTGAAGCCTCACAGGTGCAGCAGCCTCCCAAGTGTCAGGGTCAGTATTAAAGGCTTTAACTAATGCCTTGAGTGTGCTCCTTAAAGCAGTTTTTTTTTCTTTTCTGGCCACAATGAAAGCATCTACCTTTTTGTATCTCATTATACAAGTATTTTGCTTAGACAGACTCTATGGAAGTGGATAAACTTTTTTGCATGATGTATGTATACAGTCAAAGTTTCACAAGCATACAGCAACACTGGAAGCACCACTGCTATCTACACTTTCAGTTTAGTTAGCACACTGATACCACTTCGATGCCAGACATTGGTGTATGGTCTGTCAAATGTGCAGCTAGCTGCATGTTTATCTCATCATCAATGGTGACATTTTGAGACAGTGTACTGCCGAGGTAAGCGAATTTATTCACAACCCTTATCTTCCAGCCATTTTACAAAATGGTCGGCCCAGCATACACTATGCTTCGTGCTGGTTGGTATTTGATTTCAGTTTTCTCTGTGTCTCAGAGAATCTGTCCATATTATACTGCAGCGTAACCAGCATTAACAGCGCAGTCACCAGCGAACAGAAGATCCCTTATAAATACATGATTTAACTTCGGTTTTTGCTTTGAGGCGTCTAAGGTGAAAGAGTTTTCCTTCGATGCAGTAGCTGATATAAATTCCAATATCTTCATAACAAAAAGCATCAGAAATCACCACTGAGAACATAATACTGAATATAATAGGTGCATGTACACACCCTTGTTTCCCACCGTTTGTGACATGGAAAAGTTCAGATAGTTCTCCATTATCCTGGATTTTAGCTTGCATTCCATCCTGCAGCTGCTGCACAATCATGATAAATTTCTTTAGGTAGCCATATTTTGCCATGACCTTCCATAGACACCCCCTGTTGACTGAAACTAAAACTTCTGTCAGGTCAATAAAAGCCATAAACAAATCACACTGCTGTCCCTGACATGAACACCATGCCTATGGTTCCACTCTTTTCAGAATCCACACTGGCTTTCAGGTAGCAGACTACTTCAAGATGTGTTGTAAGATGATTTAGGAATATCTCATGCAGGTATTTTCCCTGCTTTTGACAGTAATGAGATGTGAATGCCTGTGCGTATCATGAGTATCTGAGCGTGTCTATATATCCTGCATCAACTGCAAAAGAATGACAGGAACTCCCGTCTGTCTGAGACAAGCCCGCTGACGTATTCTCAGCTTGTGTGAATGATTTTATTGTAAGTAAAGTTTAATCAATAAACAACTACCTCAGTAAGACTTGTCAGATTCTAAAATGGCGTAGGACTAAAGACCGGTGAACGATTACTGATATGCATCTAATAAACATACGATGAACTGTCAAAGACTGAATAGCGTCAGGGATGTCTACGACCTGTGTTCGTGTCTATGTGAGTTGTAATGCACTGAGCAACCGCTTGCAGTAGATAACGAGTGAGAGTTAGCAAAGCCAAGAAGTGGACTTGGTGCAAAGATCACAAAAAAAGGAAGGCTTCACTTCACATCATGTGCTTAGTGTGCCTTAATAGCCTGTAAATACAAGTCTCTCATAGCTCAGCTTCCTGCATGTATACAAATGAAAAGACAATGATAAATGACAAAAGAAACTTACAGCTGAACATTCAAAGTACTCTAGCTTGCTGGACTGTGCAGTTTCTCTCCCCACTTTTGGAGTGACCACCCGTCTCTTGTCCAAATCAGTCTTGTTAGCCAGTAAAACACCTCAAAGTTGAGACAAACCCACAATGAGAACACCATGGCTTAGGTAGCTTGCTCGGAATTAATAAACTGCATACACAATTGTTTAGTTAGAAATCACAGACCTTATACTCATGTTTTTTTTTAAATATTGCTGAGAAAAGTACAGATCTACTAAGAAGATTTATAAAGAAGTGTTATATCAGGTACACATTAATCACTCCTTGGTTCCTTGGTACCCATAAACAGCAGGTTGTATGTCAGCTGTCCTGACAGACTTAAAGTGTAATCATCACACACGAGGAAATAGTTTCTTCTTGTCTGATTTATGGAACGAGACTGAAGAACTCTGCAAATATCTATATGCAATTGAAGGAAACTTGCTGACTGTTAGTCTATTCAACTGTCATTCTAACCTGGCATAGAACACGGACTAATTTTTTCCTGGTAGGATATTTCTAGTATTAATGAAGTCTTCATTTTGATTTGATTTGATTTTTGTAGCGGTAAAAAAATCCATTGCCGGCTTGCTAGGCCTGTCGCAACTTCACCAGAGCCCCGTTGGCCAGGACGTTTCGGGGTGACCCAGGGTGGCCTTCATGGCTACCGTAGCGGTCCCGTGGCACGAGGCCACACCATACTTCGCCCTTACCTAGCAATCCCCTACTTTGTCCTGTTACCACCTCTCACGACGAGGACCATAGGAGTGACCATAAGAGATAAGATCAGAAATGAGATCATAAGAGAACAAGTCGGCACAGAACCAATTCTGGATTACATACAAAGACAGCAAGTGAAATGGTTTGCCCACTTAGAGAGAATGCCTTGTGACACCATACCATACAAAGCATACATGGGAAAAGAAGAAGGATGTAGAGCACGGGGTAGACCAAGAACAAGATGGAAGGATAACATCAGAGAAACTCTACAACAGCACGATGTGCCTATGGTCGAGGCAGCCAGAAGAGCTAGAAACAGAACCTTATATCTCCCTCGACACCCACAGCGGTAAAAGAGGAAGTGAAGAAGAAGAAGAAGAAGAATGAAGTCTTCCAGTCTGTTCTCTTTTACTTAAGACTATATTTAATCTGCTCTCCGCCTCCCCCTCTCTTTATATCTCTCTCTCTTATGTTGTTGTAGTATACAAATGTAGCAGGCATGAATGCCTACATATTATTTCAAACAATAATGGATGGTTATAAATCAACCTTGTGGTAGCCAAAAGACTACATGAAAGCAGCACCAGATTTCATAGAAAAGATAGACAAACCTGGCAATCATGCGACAAGATAACATAATCAAATAGATCACAATTTAAAAAGTAATAGAAATGTCTCGACCATACAACAGGTTAGAAGCTATAGTGGAGCAGAATGTCATAGTCACCACTATCTGGTTGGTGCAAAATTTAAAATCAAGCTTAAGAGATCCTTCTAAACCAAGTTGCAAAGATCACATCTAGAATACAGTAGAGAAAGATTACAAGAAACATCCATATCAGAGAAATCTGCAGATGAATCATAAAACTGAAATTTTACAAATTCTGCCTGAGAAAGACTTTGACCAAACCTGGATGGATATTAAAAATGTAATTCAAACCACTGCAGAACAATGTCTTGGTGTGTCCACCAAAAACAGAAAGAACAAAGGGTTCAATTAAAAATGTGAAGAAGCAGTCAGACAAAAAAAAATTAACACATGCAAAACAGATGTGGCTAAACAATACTAGCAACATATGGAACAATGAAAAATATAGACAGAATGTAAAGAAGCTACAAAAGTAGTTAGGTAGCAAAAGCAAGAATACATGAACAGCACTGTCATGGATATGGAAGCAAACCATCAGAACAATGAATCAAGGTTTTTTAAAGAACTGAAGGCTGTAAAACAAGGGCATCAACACAGCATTTATAGTTTAAAAGATCACAATAGGAACATGATAAATAATAATAAGGAAATATGTAACAGATGAAAGGAATACTTTGCTGAATTGTTCAGTTGTGAAACTCCACAGGAGTTACTAACATGTGAACCAAATATTGAAGAGCCTGATTTTGAAGAAGTACTGTTTGTCATAACACGGCTTAAAAAATAATAAAGCAACTGGTGCTGATGGAATTGCAGCTGAACTTTTAAAAGAAGGTGGTCATGCATTACACGTAAAGATATATGAATTAATAAAACAAGTTTGGAAGACAGAGAAATTACCCGATGAATGGAAAATGTTTTTTATTAATACCCCTTTTTGTTTGTGAAAATTATAGAGGAATATCACTATTACCTACAAGCTATAAGATACTATCAGTGGTACTGTTAAACAGGCTAAAACCACAGGTCGAAGACATATTGTGAGATTACCAAATGGGTTTCCGACAGAACAGATCAACAAAAGATCAGATATTCATTTTACGGCTAATAGCAGAGCAAAATTGGGAATATAGAAAAAATGTTTTTGTGGATTTTAAAAAGGCGTATGATAGTGTCCCCACTTTTTTCCACTTGGCCCTTGAGAAAAGATAAGGAAATTGAAACAAGATTTATTAAAGGAGAAACTACAAGAATATTTAGTTATGCAGATGATATCGATATAGTTGGAGAAAATGAACTAGAGACTGTAAAAACACTGACTCTTTTAACAGAAGCAACTCACAAAATGGGACTAGTTATCAATCAACATAAAACAGAATACATTATAATAACAAGACAGGGAAAGGGTATAAACTCTGACCACATACAAGTCGATAATATGAAACATATAAATACTTGGGTGCAAACTTCAACTGCTCCAACATGCTGAGAGAAGAAATACAATCTAGAATACAATCTTGAAATAAAGTATACTATGCCCTTCAAAATCTGTTAAAGTCAAAGTCTCTATCTCGCAAAACCAAGATCAAAATATATAAAATGTTGATAAGACCAGTTGTTTTTTATGGCTCTGAAACTTGGAGCACAACTAAAAGAGAAGTCTTATTACACATTTTTGAAAACAGAGTCTTACGATGAATCTTTGAACCTATCAAAGATGCAAACAGTGGGGAATGGAGAGTGAGAAGCAACAATGAAATTCATAATCTGGTTAAATCACCACTGATCACATGCATCACGAAGACTAATAGACAGAAATGGCTGGGGCACATTGAGAGAAAGTCAGATGACAGAGAGGTAAAAACTGTGTACACAAGGGGGATGAATGGTTGTAGACCACGAGACAGACCAAGAAAACGATGGAGAGATAACGTCCAGACAGACCTGCAAACACTTGGTGTCACCAATTGGAAAGAGAAGGCCAAACAGAGAGATGAATGAAAGCAGATGATATCTGTAGCAATGAACCTCAAGGGCATGGAATGCTGCAGAAGAAACAGAAGCAAAAAATGCTCTTTCCAGCCCTTTAGTGATCAGAGTGACAATCAAAACAGAAATTGCTAAATGATTCTTTGATTCCACGTCCTGTGAGTGATCATCATCATTTGTGAACTGATTTTTCATATTAGTGCAGTGATTTTGCAGTTTCGCAATGATTAACATTTCTGAATAGCACACAAAATCTTCATAAAGTGGTGTAGATAATCAAATGAGTTTTTATATTTGTAAACCTTTTCACTGTATTTAATTAACTACACATGTTTGTAAAAACCATTATTTACTTACATGTTATGGTAAAACACATGACTCAAATGAGTAAAGAGTTAAAAAAAAAAAAAAAACATGATTCAAACCTTAGAAATGTTGATCTAGTTTTCACTATGCTTTTGCTGACAGATAGATAGATGAAAAAACAAACAACAACAACAGAATGGCAGAACAATAGAACAATCTGAAAACATAAGACAGATATTAAAACTGCAATTCACACGCATAACAGACATCAAATTAAACTACATTCAAAGAGGGGGGAAAAAAAGCTGTTGATATGGAGGAAGTTAATGATAGCTACATACATGCATATACATACATGCACATGCACACAAATACACACACATTCACACAAACACGGAGGCATATAGAAGGAGAGTTAAAGTGACTATGAAACCAATGTGCCACAGAGATGTTTTCAAGCATTTGTACCTGGTATGTGGATGTCTGGTGTCAGTGCCCTGACTTTCTCCAACCATGTCAGGGAGTTTGACAATGATGCTTCATTTGTACAGTCATAGACCACCATCACCACTGATGGATGGTCCCACTGTGAACATAAATCACAAGGATGAATATTTAACCATGAGATATTTGACCACCTGTCAAATGCTGATTTAGCTTTGTCACCCTGTAAATGCAGATATCTCAGCTCGTCTGGCTTTTTGACAGCATAATGTTTTTGTGCAGTGAACACTGCATAGTACAACAGCATGGATACTGGTTACAACTGCAAAATGTGTAGACATGGTGGGTATGATTATGTATATTTCAACAATATTTTTTTTTTTTAAATATTATTTGGGGTCAAGAAAATAAGATTTGACCAAATTGTGACATCACCATGACATCACCATGACATCACCATGACATCACCAGGACATCACCAGGACATCACCATGACATCACCATGACATCAGCAGGACATCACCATGACATCACCATGACATCACCATGACATCACATATTTTAATAAATTACATCACATTGCTCTTTGCAGAAAAGTGACCAAAATCATTTTTAGATAGTTGAAGGGAAAGAAAGTTAATTCTTTACTCCGATTGTATTTAGTGATTACTTCTCTCCACCCAGAAATAAACCTTTTCCCAATCAGCTTGTAGATGTTTCGTGACAGAAGAGAATTTATGTACATTTAAAAAAGTGATTCACATCATCAAAGAAGCAGAGAACTTCATGTCTGCCAGTCTGCTCATGGTCCAGGTGTCCGATTCCCTGGATACTTATAAAAACTGCCCAAGACTCCACACGCCTTCTGCTTCTTCTAGTTTCTTAGGGAGAGTTTCATAGAAATATTAGAATGTGTTGAAAGAACTTTTAAAAAAAGGTCATATTTTGAGATTTGTATAGGGCAATCAATCGATCCTCATCGTGCCCAGAGGCACATAAGGCAGAGACAAACTGTCGCTACTCAATTCAATCCTCAGCCATCCTCTCTATCTCCAGTTTTGTCCTTGACGTAGCCTTGAGTTCAGCCTCAAAGGTTCGCTTCCACGTGCCTCTGGGCCTGCCTCTTTCTTGCTGTCCTTGTGGTGTCCATTGCATTGCCTGTCTCGGCCATCTCTCTTTATTTATTTTGAGGATATGTCCAATCCACCATCGTTTTTTGATTTATAAATTTACATCTTCTAAGTTTGTTATTTGTTGTAATCTAGAATTACTGATTTTATCTTCCCATGTGAACCACAACAATCTTCTGAGAAGTCTTCCCTTAAAACCTCCGAGCATGCTCTCCATCTTTCTGTCTGTTTTCCAAGTTTCTGCTCCATAGAGGAGCACTGTGCTAATACATGTTTTGTATATCCTGAGTTTAGTTTTAGTGCTCTAGATGACTGATCTCCAGACACTCTGAAGTCTGTTGAAAGCAGCATTTGCCCTTGCAATTCTCTGCTGGATTTCAACTACTACATTTTCATCCGAGGAGATATTGCTTCCCAGGTAAGTGAAGTCAATTACTGTTTCCAAACCTACATTATCTATTACTATGGGTCTTTCACTCATGGGGTTTTTCTCCAGCAGTTTTTCTAGAAATTGATATTGGTTCTTAACCCTGTCTGCTTTGCTACTTCTGTGATCTTATCTGTCTTTTGTTGCTGTTATTCTTTACTTTTGCTGATGATGCATATATCATCTGAAAAGTCCAAAAGTTCCAGGTGTCCAAGAAGGTTCTACTGAAGGGTTTTCCGTGTGCCTGTGGTTGCTTTCTTTGTAACATAATCTATCCCTATAGGAAATAAGAAAGGTGACAGAATGAACCCTTGTCAGACTCCTGATTTTGCCCTGAAGTATTTTGTTTCCATGAGTCCTACTTTCACTTTGCATTGGTATCCTTCATAGAGTCCTTGAAATATATTTATAACTTTATTTGGTAACCCATAGGCAGCAAGGATCCTCCACAACATTGTTCTATCTAGACTGTCAAAGGCCTTTTCAAAGTCTACAAAGTTTATATTTAATGTAGCATTCCATTCTAAAGCTTATTCCACAATATTTCTGAGAATGAAAATATGATCACAGAAGTTTATTTCTTTTCTGATTCCGGCCTGATCTTCCGATAAAACTGTCTATTGACGTCTTCATTCTGTTGTAAATCACCCTACAGAGTGCCTTTCCAGGAACAGACAATAATGATGTACTTCTTCAGTTGTTGCAGTGTGAGAAATCACCTTTCTTCTGTAGTAGGATGATTTCACCATTTATCCAGTATGTTGGGACCACTTCATTTATCCATATGTTGTTGAATTTTCCCTGTAATGTAATGCTTTTGCTGTAAATTGTGGTCCTGCCTTTAACATGTCAGCACTAATTCAGTCTTCACCCGGTCCCTTCCCATTCTTCATACTGTTTATTGTCATTTCTTTAACGCTGATTGGCCCAATATCCATTTCTAGGAGTTGGCCACAGTTTTCTACTGTTTAAACTGGGATATCTGATGTTGGCTTATTTAGCCACTCTGTAAAATATTCTTGACATCTATCAACCTTTCCTCTTTTCATTGTGATTATTTCCCCTGTTGTGTCTCTCGGTTTTTTTTCCATTAAAGCTAAAATGTTTCCAACTAAGAGCCATAGTTACTTTATACAATGTTCTAGTCTCATCTGTCATTGCTGTCTCTTCCACTTTGGCAGCTTTGAGTTCCAAATATTCCTTTTTGTCTTTCTTTAAGCTTTGCTTTACTTCTTTATGTTTGGTGAATTATGCTATCCGTGCAGCCATCTTTTCCAACATACTCTTTGCAAGGTTTATTTGCCATTTTTGAATTTTTCTTTCTTCTATCTTTGACCAGGATTCTTTAGATATCCATTCCTCACTCACATGTTTCTTCATACCGAGTATTTTCTGGGCTGCATTGCAATATGCATCTTGAGACTGTGTCCATTCTTCTTCAACATTTTTTTTTCACTGGTAGGTGGTAAAAACCTTCGAACTGGTTTCTTAGTTCGACGCAAACACAAACATCTTCTTTCACTTTTAATATTCTGAGCTGGGCTGAATTAAAAAATTTGCTTACAGTCTCTTTCTTCATTCTTCTTAGTTTTAGCTTCAAAAAACAAATCACTATGTTGTCACTCATGATGGCCGGTTTCCTTCTAGCAAATACATCTTGTATCGAGGTCCTCCACTTCTTATTGTACAGTATATAGTCCATTTGGTTCCTCGTGTTGCCATTAGGTAAAGTCCATGTTTACTTGTGGATATCTTTATGAATGAAGACTGTTCCACAAAATTACTAGACTGTGCTGAAGGTTGGTCAGCCTTTCTTCATTATTATTCCTCTTTCCTAGCCCATGTTTTTCCATGATATTAAAGTCCTATGTTATCCTTTCCCACTTTCGCGTACAAGTCCCCCATAATTATAAGTAGGTCATGTCTGGGGACTTCCTCTATCAATTCATCTAACTGGGTATAAAACTCATCTTTCTTCTCATCACTTCCATCATTTGTTGGTGCACAGCATTGTAAGTTTTGTGAATCTGGACTAAAAGTGTGCAGGTATTAGCCTTTCATTTATCGCCCTCCATCCAATCAGAGATTTGTATACTTTTTTAGTTAGCATTATGCTACTCTATGTGTATGTTCACCATCATTTCTTCCAGAGTAGAGTATGGATTCCCACTATTATGTGTCAATCTTTCTTTACCAGGACATTTGCTTTTAATTATTCTCAAAATGTATATCTTTTTGTTTGCCATTTCCTCTGCAATTTCTGTGGATCTGCCTGCTTCATACATCATTCTGACATTCCAGCAGGTAAGCTGAATCATGTTCCTGGGCGCCAAGAGGCAGGTTGTCGGGGCTGGATTTCCCAGCAGGCTTTCCTCCAGTCCTTCATCATTGACTGTTATCCTATCACCTATATCTATGACATCCGGATCTTCATGAGTATTATTTATATTTATGTTCGTCTCCATTTCTGTAGGGGTAATCTTTTTTTAAATTCTTTTTTACAGTGTGGGGTTGCTGGCCCCACGTCCAACTCCTCTTAATCACTTTTAACAACATGCTGAGAGCATGAAGTGTTCCTATTCTCTATGACACCGGCACCACACAGTGGGGCAAAAAGCAGACTTAACATAACATGTAAACGAGGTTAATATTACTGATATCTCCACAGCGGCAGCAATCAGCACATTTACCACAGATGCAGCTACATTTGTAACACTGAATGTAAGTATGTAAAGGAGCCATTTCTCTGCACTAAAGCATCTTGTGCATTAGGTGCAGGTACCAAACTGTTAAAGACCAGTCGGCACTCACTAAGTGGGTAAAGGGATTAATAACTGGTAGCCTTTATTTTCTTGTTCTCTGTTATCCTTTCACTCCGAGAAAGCTAAATCTAGTCACTTCTAGTTGTGCCACATCCCCATAAATGTTGATCACAGCCATCCTGAAGTGGCCTGCTCCAAAGTGGCCTAGTTAATGGCAGCTAACCTGTTTTCCAGTAGTCATGCGTTAAGATGACACATAAGTGGTTATGGTTACGTAAGTATAGCTAGCAGCTTGCCCATTTTCATTCATAGGTTCTGTGCAGGAAGCATGTGTTTTGAAATTGTACTAAAATGAGTCAGCGTAAAAGAAGTGATAAACATACTGTTGATGCTGTTGATTTTAACAGCAAAAAGATTGTGTTCTTTTCTTCAAGATGTCATGACAGAAGTATTTTAGGTGTACAGAAGGGACATTAAATTGCATTAGATGTTTAAAGTGAATGTGATGATGGCAAGTCATCTTTTTTTATCAGCTGACTGTTGTGCACCATTGACATCAGCTGCTAGTGCTGCATCATTGACATCAGCTGCTAGTACTGCACCATTGACATCAGCTGCTAGTGGTGCACCACTGACATCAGTTGCTAGCTGTGCACCATTAACATCAGCTGCTAGCCCTCTCTGTAGTGGTGCACCACTAACATCTACTGCTAGCTGTGCACCACTAACATAAGCTGCTAGCTGTGCACCACTAACATCAGCTGCTAGCTGTGCACCACTAACATCAGCTGCTAGCTGTGCACCACTAACATCAGCTGCTAGC